CCAGGCTAGCCTCATGCTGGTGATTTCTGCCTTTTGAGTGGTGGGGTTCCTGCTGTGAGCCCACATGCCCAGCTTTCCATTTCTCCTACATCCACTACATCAGCCCGGAAGCACACACGCTTGACTACACCATCATGGATGGATGTCTGTTTCCAAGACAGTGTACTACACCAGTTACACTTTCCTGTTCTATTCCCCTTAAATTACATTTGCACCTGCAAAATCAATCTCTCTGTAGAGTTTTCTTGGTCCAAGCAGCAAATGTCTGGTGTTGGTCTTGTCTTATGTTCACTCAAAATGTGGATTACATGGTCCCAGAGAGTCTCACACTCTTCACACAGGCTATGACAGTTGAGAGATAAAAATGTAACTTTTTTTTTTCCTTTTTGGCTGGAAAATGAGGAGATACTCACTGCCCTTTTCAACTAAATAGTAGTCATTTCACAGGGAACGGAGTACCCTCTGTTCTCACAGCAGTTGGCTTTCCTAAGCCGAAGAAGGGTTGTTTCAGTAACACATGGACACCTCAGTCATTTTGTTCCTAAACACTGGGCAGTTGTCAGGTCAAACCCATGACCAAAACAACACTAAGACATTTATTCACACAATTCCAATCTGGTTGTCTTATTGGTGGTGGTTTTGTTGTTGTTGTTGTTGTTGTTGTTGTTGTTTGGATTGTTTGTTTTGAGGCTAGAGCTCACTATGTAGCCCAGGCTGGACTTGAATTCATTATGTAGCTCAGGGTGACCACGAATTCAAGATTCTCTTGCTTTTACCCTAGCTGAGATTACAGGTATCGGGGGCTGGGGATTTAGCTCAGTGGTAGAGCGCTTGCCTAACAAGGTTCGGTCCTCAGCTCTGACAAAAAAGAGAGAGAGAGAGAGAGAGATTGGAGGTATCACGATGCCTAGCTAATTTCACTTTGATTGGTAGTACTGTGGGCAAAGGCATGCTGTGGGCAAAGGCATGCATGCTGGTTAAGTATGCTCTCACTGGGCTTCTTCACGGAGCTGTACTGTCCACCCAGTTCCCAGGCTTGAGTCCACTTCAGTTTCTCTGCAGAGAAAACATTCTTTAAAACAGTGGAGTCGAGTGTGAAGGAGCTATAGCTCTAATTAGTTTATGGCTGGATCAAGATTTTAGCCAGCAAAATTTTCTTCTCCTCCACAGAGGATGAGCCCCAAATCATGGCTGTCTGACTCTCTATAGATTCAGGTGCCCGCGCGTAATCACAAATAATCAGATGTGCTGAGTGCTGGAGAGGTAACAGGCAAACCTGATTCTGGATTCTTCATCAATTTACTATTGTCCTGCATGGCTAGGTCATGTTGTTCCTCACGCAGACATCCGTAATTTCACCCTCTCTGCCCACCTCCTGCTTGACCTCCAGGCTCTCAGGCTCTCCGGGGACGGCTCCACGTGTTTGGACACCCGAGATTGTCGAAGCCCTTGTTATTAGGTCTGGGGCTCTGCCACCCAGAGCTTCCGGTGTGATGGTGTTGGAAACATTCCTGCATCTGTGGCGATAGACTCTCACCCATCACACACCTTTGGCTTGGGTAGTAGGAGTGGGAAAGTGAAAGGAGAAGAGAGGAGAGAGGAGAGGAGAGGAGAGGGACGTGGAAGAGTGTATGAGAGAGGGAAGAACGTGACCTAGCAATGTGGAACTCCTTTCCTCAGATGGGAAATGGCAGGATTACTAGCAATTCCTGATGCAAAGACATTTGTTGACTCCTGATGACGTTTAGAACTCCATCCATCTACAGCTGGCCCAGAAGAGGCAGATTCACTCAAACAGCTATCTGTAGGGTCAGAATGACAGTATATTTTGTTTCCTTCTGCTGCTGTTATTGTTATCGGGTTTTTATTAAATAACCTTGGCTGGCCTGGAATTTGCTATGTAGACCAGGATGGCCTTGAACTCCTAGAGATCTGTTTACCTCTGCCCCCTGAGTGCTAGGATTAAAGGTGTGTGCCACCACACCTGACATATTTTTGTTTTGTTTTCAGTAAGTAACATAGTTTTCCCTTTACCTGGTTCTCTTAAAGTGTCTGTTTGAAAAGCTGGGTGCGAGTATGGCATTGTATTCCTGTGATCCTAGCATAAGGACAGCCTTGGCTACTTAGTGATTCTAAAACTAACTTGGGCTAGATGATGTCCTTGTTCTATTTGGAGAGAGTGATATAAAGGATTAATAAGTAGTAAGCTATTCATACTGGAAGACAATTGCTTTATACACCAGTAGACTGTACTAAGAATGAAAATGAATTTTAATGTATTAACGTGATGTAAAATTTTGTTTTTTTTTTCTTTTTTCTTTTTTTCTTCTTATTTTTTGAGATAGTCTCTCACTGTAGCCCAGGCTTGCCTTGGCCTGGAAACAATCCTCATGTCTCAGCCTTCCAGCTGCTAGAATTACAGACAAAACCCACCTCCCCTCCTCATAATGTGAATATTTTGATACCTAATTTAGGAATTTGATTTTATTAGCTCCATATAATAGTAATATATAATTTTTGATAGCCTATTAAAACTCCAAATGACTAAATTAAATTAAAATGAAGGTCATATAAGGAGTGTCCTTATGTTCTCATCCAGCTAAAAGGTACTGCGTACATTATAGGATTAAATTTCCTTGTAAAAAAGTATGCAGAGAAGCCATAGAAATATCAATTAAATTCCTAATGATGCTACCCAGGAGGTGATAAAATATAAATTTGTTCGATGTGACATGTTGGGAAACTTAAGGATGTTCCCTTTCAATTATAAACTTCTTAACCGAGAGCAAAAACAAAGAGTTACTCATGAAAAGTTAGAAATTAAAGTAAACAAAGTATCTAAAAAGAAGAAAGTGTTTTATGAAAAGTTAGGAATTAAATTAACAAAGGTTCTGAAAAGAAGGGACCATTTTTCTGGGAATTGCTAACAAGGTTAAAAAGCGGTGTTCTCGATTTTAAAACTTCACGTTCCTGACGGCAAGCTGCATGGGCTTCCTTTGGTTCTTGGCTGTTTGGAGCATCTGGATCCACCATCCTTCCAATTTTAATACAAAAAGCTGCCAAAGACTCCACTGAAAGTCCTGGCAAATGACAGAATGAATAAACAACAGCCAAGAGAAGAGCTTCATGCATTCACATTTCCTTCTAGTAGGTTCCTCACTTCATACACTACTGCCTTATTAACGGAACTAGAAAACGAGGGCAGCAGGGGTGCCATTGGAGAAGAAAGCGCCTCAAAGATGTTGAGGGTCACTTCTTCCTCCACACACAGGAAGTCTTTGCTTTGGTCAGAACAGCAGAGGGGTTCTCATGGACACATTTCACTACTCCTGGCTCATGGGACTTGTAGTTCTGACCTTGGCGGGAATGGGTGGGTGGGGCGCTCCCATAGAAACCCCTGCTGTCCTCTAAGTGTCAGAACCCCTTGTCCTCTTTGTCTTGATACCTGTGTGTCATATAAGAACAATACAGATCAAGTCCACCAGTCCTTTGTAGTTAAAATGATTAAAGGTAAATCTATATTTTAGTGTTTTAATCTGCATTTTAATTATAGGTTAAGAGTGCTTACCGCTCTTTGCAGAGGACTGGAGTTCAGGTCTCAGCTCTCAAAATGGGTACCTGCACTCAGGTGCACACACCACTCCCCACACAAACACATAATCATAAAATAAAAATCTTATTTTTTATAAAAAAAAAAGTAAAATATTCTGCTATGCTTTTGTGAGATGGAAAGCTGGAAAGCAGAGATTAGAATTTCAGTCAGCAGGAAGGGAAGACAGCGGGTGTTGAGGTTCCAGGGGGCTTCTCATGGGGACACTGAACCACATCAAGGTCACTGTAGCATGAATCTTAAAGAGTTTTTATTAATAAAACAAACCCGGGGCCAAGTATTGGGGTGAACACTGGAAGATCAGAGAGACAGAACAAGCCACAGCTAACCTCACCTGGCCAACTGGTCTTGTTTCCTCAGACTGGAAGCTTCTGTGTCCTCATCCAAATGACTCTCAGCTGAACTGCTGCTCAAAAGCCTGAAGCTTAACCAGCTAAAAGCTTAACCAGGCCAAATGCTTCTAGTTTCTGGTCCTCATGCCTCATATATCTTTCCTTTCTCCCATCACTCCCTGGAATTAAAGGCTCACTTTCTGGGATTAAAGGCGTGAGTCACCATGCTTGGATGTATCCTTGAACACATGGATTTCTGCCTCCGGAATGCTAGGATTAAAGGCGTGTGCTACCATTGCCTATCCTAAATATCTAGTGGCTTTTCTGTTCTCTGACCCCAGAAAAGTTTATTAGGGTACACAATATTTTGGGGAACACAATACCACCACAAGGTCACAGCTTCCCCGTAGATAGTCAGCGCAGCTTCCCTGGCTGTGCTTCCCAATAGGGAGGTTCTACAGCTGCCTGCTGGGCCTCAGGGGGCGCCTCCAGCAACACAGGCTTGATGTATCCCCTTCCTCTGGGGTGGAAGTCTAAGGGGGGGCAGGGGTGGATGTGGATGCTCATCCATCATGCAATTGCTATTCATCTCAGTCTCTCTTCAGACATTCCTTGGTTTTGCTAATGAATATTCTGTGTTGTATATTCTTGTTGGGAAAGCAAAGGATTGGCACCTTGATTTCTTTTTCTGGCTTTTTCAGAATCTTCTACCACAATCTCCTAGAGTCTTCTAAATGAAAACTGTTCTGATTTTTATGTCAGGTCTCTGAGAGTCATGATGATGGGCAGGGTCAAACCAGGATGATTCTCCTTCTAAGAGCTGGGCAGGATCTGCCACATGCAGTATCAATCACCACTGTAGGGCTGGGGAAATGAGTCACACCCAGTCACTACGTTTATTTATATAGCCCAGAGCTTGCTAGATGCTGTGACAAGTCTTACATGTACAATATTTCATCCCCAGAACTCCTGAAGTGGGAGAGTCTCGTCATCCCTATTTTACACATGCAGGAACAGAACAGAAAACAAAGTGACTTATGCTCTAAGGATCCCTCCCCTCTGTTTTTAGTGTGATTTTATTGTGCTTCAAATTTTTAAATGAAATCTGCTACCATGACTGCTTTGACAGTCCATGCATAGCCACCACACGTGTTAGCCAGCCTCTAGAGCTCTTTCTCTTGTCCAATTGAAACTCCGAGACCCACTGAGTCACAGCTCTGACCTTGCACAACATAGTCCACCCAGATGTCCACATGCAGGGAGCAGGGCAGCACCAGGTAAGCAGGAGGACTCATCCTGAGTCCTCTGCATGTCTGAGGGGTGGAGAAAAACAAGGAAACAGTCCGTGGAGGGAAAAGTGAGTTTCCAGACCTCTTTGAACCAGAGCTCTGCATTGCTTACCTCTGGTGACTTTGTAATTCCCGGGATGGTAACCAGTGTGGTATGAGACATTATCTCACTGTGCTTTCCATAGTTGTTATGAAAGAGCACGGCGAGATGACTTCACCCTCAAAAATTCTTGCGGAGAAATGGCCCTTACTGTTATCACCAATGGCTGGAGAAACAGCAGAGTCCAGAAGAGCTAAATTCTATCTCATCTTGTTTTAAGAGACTAAATGCTTGATAGACACAGCAGACACCCTACCGCCAGTGTGTTGCCAGGGGTTCTCAACCTGCCGGTCGTGACCCCTCTAGGGATCAAATGACCCTTTCACAGGGGTCACCTGAGACCATCAGAAAATGCAGGTGTTTACATTATGATTCACAACAGTAACAAGAGTGTAGTTATGAAGTATCAACAAAAATAATTTTTTTTTATAGTGGGGGGGGGGGTCACCACAACATGAGGAACTGTATTAGATGGCCGCAGCAGTAGAAGGTTGAGAACCGCTGTTTGTGCTCACAGATCCCACCACCGGAATTAAATTCGGGTCAGGCTCTACCAAGGGCGTCTTGCTCTGCCCCAGTGGCCCGGATAGCTTTTACATCTATTCCCTCGACAGAGGCGGACCGGTCCGGGTGGGTTTTCCGGATGAAACCGTAACAGAATCTTTGTGTTTCTGTCAGAACGTGAAAAAGACGGACTGGTTCCGGGAGTGGCCGGACTCGTACGTGAAACACATCTACAGCTCGGAGGACAGGAACGCACAGCGCCACTTGAGCAGCTGGGCCATGCGCAACACCAACAACCACAATTCCCGCATCCTCAAGAAGTCGTGCCTGGGGGTGGTGGTGTGTAGCCGGGACTGCTCCACCGAGGAGGGCCGCAAGATCTACCTGAGGCCTGCCATCTGTGACAAAGCCCGGCAGAAACAACAGAGTGAGTGGGGCTTGGGGACAGCAGCAAGGAGGCCGGGAGCCGACTTGGATGTCCCAGCCAGGGTGGACATGTCCCAGGGGCCCAGGCAACCCTCCCACTGGAGTTACGTGACAGCCAAGTCATTCTGACGGAGAACTCTCTAAGAGAGAGCCACCCTTCTCCTTCCCCTCACCTCCCCCTACAAGGCCTCCCGTGTGCCCCCCCCGCTCCCCATGAACGCCCCCGTTGCTTTGGAGAGAGATTGACTCATGGAAAGTTCAGGAGAAATCAGTTCACAGACTTGCTGCCTGGCACCTGAGTCCCGGCGAGATCCCAGTGAATAATAATTGATAGTCTTGAATATGGAGGAGCAACTTCTGTTGCGCAGGGTGCTTTGGCCTGTAAAATAATCCCACTTGCCAGGCAGCTGTTGACTATATCCACGTGTGAGCCCAGTTGGCCATTGGTAGACAGAGTGCTGGTCATGGGTGAGATCCAGGGGCGGCAAGCGCCTGAGACTGGGCAGGGGTTCGCCTCCACTATCCTGGACCCAAAGCCGAAAGCCAGCAGGGCAGCCCAGGCTCAGGAGTCAGCAGCCCGTGTTGCCTAGCCAGCTACTCTGACTGCTTCTTCTGTAGGGAAAAGCTGTCCCAACTGCAATGGCCCTCTGAAGCTGATTCCCTGCCGAGGCCACGGGGGCTTTCCGGTCACCAACTTCTGGAGGCACGACGGCCGCTTCATATTCTTCCAGGTAGGGTTCGAGTTACTAACCCGGCTTCTCTTTCATGTGGCAGGTCTCTATTTTATCAGTGGAATTTTGTCAGTGGTTGTGGGTATAGGGGCATATGAGACTGTGCCCACCCTCTGGAGACCCCACATCTCTAGGGGTGGAGCACTGGAAACCCCCGAAGGCCGAGCCCCTCCACTCCCGAGGAGAGAGGATGCTAGCCGAGCACTCCTAGGCTAGAACAGGCCCCGTTCAGCTCTTGCTGTCCACAGACCCCAGCGTGGGTACCGGTACTGACTCGGCACTAGCTCTGCACACAGGAACCCCTTGATTCCTCTGGGAAACCCCAGCTTTCTGCAAGAAACACCAGTCGGGCCAGGATGTAAAAGGCGAAGAGTGGGCTCTGGTGTCAGACTGTCCGTGGAGGATTGACAACCCAGCTCTCCCAAAGACATGGCCTCGCTCTGGAGCATTTGGCCAGCTGTGACGTAGCTGTTCCCACAGCGGCTGAACTCCAGCTACCAGCCCCTTACCGCCAGCTCACTTAAGTCACTGAATATTTCATACTGGGCTCCTAGCTTGACTGTGGGGACCCTGGGCCCGCTGAGAGAGGTTATCCAAGCGACATCCCTTCTCTAGGCCTCATTGGTTTCTTATTCTGTCAACTGGAGTGATAATAATGGTAGGTGTGTAAGCACTGTGCCAAAGATTGAGAGAAGACGAGCGTGGCTGGCATGCTTGATGGGAGGCAGATTCCACATAAGGAAGCGACCTCATAGGACAGGAGGCAGGGGTGAGCACCGTGAGCTTGGGAAGAGTGCTGCTGCCTTGCTAACACCAGGTCCCAGGAGAGGACAGGACAGAGAATGAAAGCTACGCCCTGTGAAGTGAAATCCAGTGACTCATTTTTTTGTTTTGTTTTTACTACTTTGCCTCTTTTTAGTCGAAAGGAGAGCATGACCATCCCAAGCCGGAAACCAAGCTGGAAGCGGAGGCGAGGAGGGCAATGAAGAAAGTGCACATGGCATCCGCCTCTGGCTCCCTGCGGATGAAGGGGAGCCCAGAAACGAAGGTCAGCTGCTCACCCCTGGAGTGGGCGTGGTGGATGGCCTCCGTCCTTCACTGACCACTGAAAGCAAACCTTCTTCTATCTGGCCTGTCTATAAACAAGCATGGCATCCACTGAGCAAATTGAATCTGAGAGTTTACTCTTAATTTTTTTTTTAACCATATTTGAAACAGGCTTGCAAATATTCAATATGATCATAGATTCATCATCCTTAATCCAATTTTTTAAAAAAGAGCTTGAATCAGTATTTAACTCACATTTCGCAGCTCTACATTTTAGTTCCAATAAACTCAGAATTAATCAAAATAATCTTCACAAAATGCTTCTAGCCTTATGCTTTTGGAGTTTTTGTTTTCAAGTTTCCAGACATCCCTAGAACAGATGGTTTTCTTAGCTTGTCTAAATAATCAGATGGTCTACGGCCATACCACCCTGAATGTGTCTGACTAATTTCATCTAAAGCAGTGGTTCTCAACCTTCCTAATGCTGTGACCCTTTAATACGGTTCTTCATGTTGTGGTGAGCCCTCAACCATAAAATTATTTTTGTTGCTATTCCATAGCTCTAATTTTTGCTACTGTTATGAATCATAATGCAAATATCTGAGATGCAGGATATCTGATATGCAACCCCGCCAAGGGGTTGTGACCCACAGGTTGAGAACTGTTGATCTAACCAATCAGATAGTTGTTAAGCTGGGTGATCTCTAGTGTGATCCCAGTTCTTGGGACACTGACACATACCAGCCGTCGGGATCCAGAGTTTGAGTCCAGCCTGGGCTACATAGTGAGACTGGGTTAAAAAAAAAAAAAAAAGTTCCTGAAAATGATGGTCATTCCGTGGTAGAGGGAAGTGTGGAGACTGTCAAGAAGCACACCACTCTGAGGGCCTCATAGCATTACAGGTTTGTCTGTTTGATGTGGTGCTAATTCCTGCTTGGAAAGCTCTAAGTGTACTTTATCTAGGAGGAGCTCCCAAATCCCCAGGGCTGGTCCTCATCATTCATCTCAGCCACAGGGCATCTCAGCCACTTTACTTAAACAGAATCTTTATTTCCTTCCCTCAGACTATCTTCTTATGAGGGGAGAGCTTATATAAAGAGCTAGCTAGCAGCTTCTTCTCCTATGGGATAACATAGTTCTCCTCAGGGATAATATGGTTAATATATATATATATTTGATGCTGACCAGTTTATGTCCTATTCCGCGTAGTTTCCATGAACTCAGAGAAAAGTCTCTAAAGGAGAAAAACAAATGAATCCAACAATGCCATGGTCTCTCACACTAAGAAATGGACTAGTCTAGGTCGGGAAGAAGAAAAAGGAAGAGGTAGAAGTAGGGGTGAGGGATAGCCCTGAGAATTGTACCAGGGCTAGTATGAATCTTTGAACCTGCAGGGTTTTTGTTTTGTTTTGTTGTGTGTGTGTGTGTGTTGGTTTGGTTTTTTAATAGCCTCCTATAAATGGTGCAAAAAGGCAGTTAGACATCTGATACCTGAGCATGATGCATACTAAACATCCACGGAGTACATCTGGCCTTTCACAGGTTAGAAAGTTGTAAACTAGAGTCAGTGTCTCCTCAAAGGTTCCCAGCAGCTGTGGAGAGGTTGTGCCTATGGTCGAAGTATGCAAGGAATGAAGGCAATCTTATCGAGGGATACTTGCAGAATAACTCGGGGGTGCCGGGGGTGGCCATGTGGCTTTACTTAACTTATTAACGCGGCTGTTCATTTCCCTTTCCAGGTTCTTCCAGGTGAAATACCGAGTCAGGGAAGTTTACCTTTAACTTGGTCATTCCAGGAAGGCGTCCAACTGCCCAGCAGTTACAGCACACCTTTAATAGCTAACGCCCCCCAGCAGAACTCCCTGAATGATTGCCTATCCTTCCCCAAGAGTTACGATTTGGGGGGAACCACTGAGCTGGAAGATCCAACTTCCACCTTGGACTCCACTCAGCTCTATGAGAAATTCAAATTCTCCAGCGGAAGGCTCTACAGCGCTGAAGACCAGTTTCAGCCTCCTGTCCCTGGGGTCTACACAGATTATGACGACTTACAAGCCTGGAGTAAAAATGCTGCTGCCTTAGGGAGAAATCCTAACGATGAGCCCTGCTACCCCAGCTATCCTCTGCCCCCCGTGACCGGCTGGCCCTGCGACTTCTTTCCCTCGCAGAGCTCTTTGGAGCCCTTGGCCCAACAGATTCCACTGGAGGCCCCTGCAGCCCCGAATGGCTGTCATCCGCTGTGGTCCAGTCCAGGAGGTGAGCCTTATGAAGAGAAAGTGCCTATGGATTTCAACAGCTACGTGCCTTCCCTCACGTACCACTCACCTCAGCAGGACCCCTTTCTGCTCTCCTACGGCTCTCATCCTCAGCAGCAATACTCTCTGCCCAGCAGGAGCAGCAAGTGGGATTTTGACGAAGAGATGGCCTGCCTGGGTTTGGATCACTTCAACAATGAAATGTTTCTAAACCTCTGTCCTTTAAGATGACTCAACATCCCCTCCCCCGACACCACCACCAAATCGTGATTGGTTAAGGGGTTGGAAGGCTATCCCTAGAAAATGGGTTTCAAAACATAGCCTCGGAGAAGTGTTGGAATCATGACAAGCAGGAGACAAGACTTTGTTTTTTAATCTAGCTAGTTTTTTCACCTCGCCAGTGCTACTGTGTTTACCTGTAGGAAGGAATAAAAACTTACTTGTGCCAGGTACAGGGGCACACACCTTTAATCCCAGCACTCGGGAGGCAGAGGCAGTTGGATCTCTGTGAGTTCAAGGCCAGCCTAATCTACATAGTGAGTTCCAGGACAGCCAAGGCTATGTAGCCTGTCTCAGAACCCACCTACCCACCCCCAAAAAAAGAAAGAAAAAGGAAAAAGGAAAACTAAAAAGAAACTCTTGCGTTGTGGAGCAAACTGCTCCCTGATGCCCTGTTCAAGCTTTGGAAATTCAGCATCCACCTCGGCAGGGCTGTCTGGAGCAGTTTTACTATGGAGAACACATGTCAACTTAACATTTCATCTATGCCTTTTCGGAAGCTAAAAACAAAGGAACAGAAAGAAGACAGAAGAGCTATGGAGGTGTAGAGTTGAACAGTTTACCCAAGAAATATTTAATACTTTGCTTAGTTTTATTATTTTTTAAAAAAATACGTTTTCTAGATTTGTGACTTGTCAAAGCAAGAGGCGTGACCTCGTCCTATTTATAAAGAACAGAAAACAAATGAACACGGGAAGAGAACGGAATCCACCTCTCCTTCCCTTTCTCCTTCTCAGTGACTTCTCCTCCCACAAGAGCTGAGTCTCTGTCCTGTCCTACTCATTTTTGTCCTTCATGGTATCTCAATGTCACGTTCATATATGAGAAATTCTTGCTTAAAAGTCTTCGTGAAGGGTTGTGGGTGTGGCCCCACAGAGGAGAGCTTGCTTAGCATGTTAAAGGCTCTGGGTTCAATTCCCAGCAACAAATTCCAACAGCAAAGCTTTCTTGGGCATGGAGGGCACACCTGTAATCCTGAAATTTAGGAGGCTGAGGCAGAAGGATCATGAGTTTGAGGTCAGCCCAGGCTACATAGTGAGAACCTATCTCAAACAAATTTAGAACATTCTTCCTGGAGGCCAAGAGGCAAGGTTCCATAGTTCAGCACTTGGTACTGAATGGGGCTTTAGCCTTGGTACCCCAAACCCAAATAGCTAAACAAAGGAGTCTCTGTTCCTTAGTCAACTGGTCAGTTCCCAGTCTCTGCTGAAGTACTTTCTAGAAAAGACAGTACAAAATCTGGAATGAACTTTGCCATAAGCAAGTGTTTCCAAAATAATCTTTACCGTTTGATTTGTAACTAATGTGTATGATACAAGAATCAAAAATAAATGATATCTCTTGTTGCTCTGGTCCTCTGCAATACTAAAAGCTTTCTTGTCTACCCCATAGACTAACGACATTTTCTAAATACATATGTAAATATTATTATACATAATATATAAAATATGTTGTTTTCTATATTATTGTATGTCTGTGTGTGATGTCATATCTGGTATTGTATCAACTCTGGCTTTTGCCATTTTAGGTTACAATTGAACAGTGGTCCCTTATAAGCACATGGAAGCTGAGTGGCCTCATTTTCAATGGCACATAGCCATTAGTATTATAATTAAATAGTCTCCATTCATAGACATCCACATTGTTTGAATCTAGTAAATTCTTTGGTGTGAGTGCAGAAAAAAAAAAATACTTGATTTAGCAGAGTTCCACTGCAAATGCTTGTATATGCCCATGAAGGCGGGAAACCAGACCTCCTTCAGAAGCTCCCGGTGAGTGAAGGTGGATCCCACTCCACCCCAAGGCCCTTCCACGTCTCAAAACTGATCTCTAAGTTAGCGCTTTATAACTTTGCTAACTTTGGATGTACTCTCAGACAACAGTTCCGTTTTGTCTTTGTACATTTGGTCTATTTTAAAGGGTTGTTGAGGAAGCCCGTGAGATGGCTTAGCGGGTAAGGATGCTTGCCACCAGGCTGATGACTTCACTTCAGTCCTTGGAGCCCAAATGGTAGAAAGAATTACTCTAGCAAGTTATCCTCTGACCTCCGTGTACGCTCATTGCACTCACACCTCTGTGCATAAACATACACAACAAATGTGAAAAGAAGTATAACCCACACAAGGAAGAGTGCAAAAGTCATAGTACATAGCTCAACACATTGAGGTCACCAAGTCTGTCTGCCATGTTGCTGGTGTACATTCTCTACATTCTCTTGGGGGAAACAATGTGCTTTTCAGATTAGACATAGTTTATTTGAACATCTACAACTGCTTACAATGGCCTTCCAATGAGATCCTATTGAATATCACCTAGGCTGTGGGATGTAGCTATGGGCCTGATGGAGTTTCCTATGCCTAGACAGTTCTAATTGCATTGAAAGAAAAAAGAACCAATGGCTGCTGGAGGAATTTTAATATCTATTGTTCTGTGACGCTTTAGTATTACAAATATTTTTCTCCACTAGACTGAAGCACCCTTTCATCTCAGCCATTTTCACTTTAAAGCAATCTATAATCTTGATATTTATCAAAACAAGAACACGTCGTTAACTGCCAGTTCCACTCCCACACCCGACCCCCAGCCTTCCAAAGGCTTCTGCTGCTTCTCACACTTAGCTCTAGACTTCCAAACAGCAAGATTCCACATCTGTGTTTTCACGGTGTGTGTCTGTGGCATTCCGACCACAGATTAGGATCTGAGAGCTTCATAATGGTACCAGCCCCATCCTTCACCAGCTCTACTGTATGTATAGTTTGATGATTTTTGCCCATAGTATACTTGGTCATTTTGTGTAATGAAACCCAGCCAAAATCAAGATATAGAATACAGCCGTTATCCGAAAAGCTTCTGTTGGTACGGGGTTGGGGGAGAGGTGGAGAGGGGGGTCAGCAGTTAAGAGTGCATACTGCTCTTACAGAGGACTCAGTTCAGTTCCCAGCACCCACGTCAGGTGGCTCACAACTTCTACAACTCCAGGTCCAGGGGATCTTACACACTCTTCTGGTCTCTGTGGATACCCTCGCTCGCTCCCATGCACACAGACATACATAAATACACATAATTAAAAATCCTTTTGCAGGGCCATGGTGGGGCATGCCTTTAATCCCAGCACTCGGGAGGCAGAGGCAGGTGGATCTCTGAGTTCGAGGCCAGCCTGGTCTACAGAGCAATTTCCAGGACAGCCAGGGCTACACAGAGAAACTCTGTCTCAAACCACCCCCCCCAACCACCCCCCAAAAAAAACTTTTAGAAAGTGATTGGGTCCCTTCTCAGTCAACTCTTTCTCTGATTCCCAGGCCCCAGCATGCACTGCGTGCTTTCTGTCGCCACGTTGTCGCATTCTTTGAAATGACCTGCAAGTGGAATCACAGGCCTTTAAAATCCGCTTTCTTACTCCGCAGGATGCTTTTAAGATCTACAAATGTCCCGTGTGATATTAGTGAACTTGTTTACTCTGTTGTAGGAATGAATCACACTTCATCCATAAGTTAACCTGTGTACATTCAGGCTGTTTCCAGCTTTGTAAATTATGGATAAGACTATTATAAATGTCCAATTAAAGGCTCTTGTGGACATTTCTCTAGTCTGTGTACCTATGCATGAAATCATTTCATCACATGTTAAATGCACGCTGTGTCTAGCATTCGTAGATACTGCTAAGCTGTGTGGCAGAGTGGCTGCAGTATTTCTCAGGCCTGTCAGAAGTAGACGTGAACGTCCCCCTCCTTGACTTCATTTTCTAAGCTCCTTTCACTCTTAGCCATTCTTAGAAAGAAGTAGTAGCAACTCCTTGAGGCTTTGTTGTTTGAAATAGGGTCTTACTCTGTAGACTTGGCTGGCCTGGGACTCACTGTATATCCCAGGCCTCTCAGCTGCTGGAATTACAAGCATGAGCTATTATGCCTGGCTTCTCACTGGGGCATTAAATTACATTTCCCTGGTGACTTACAGGGTTGAGCATCTTTTTATGTTTTATTTACCACTTCTATGGCTTTGGTAAAGTATCTACTCAAATCTTTTGCCTATTTCTTTGGTTGCAGATAATGAGGTTTGAGAATTATATCTTCAGGATCTAAATCTCTAGTCATATATGTGTTTTTGTAGGCTTTTTGCTTTATATCATCTAAATAAACATTTGTAATCAAATGTATGATTTACAAATATTTTCCCAGTTATTGCATCCTATCTAATACAAGGCCATAAAAATTTGTCTATATACTTTGAGAGATTTTGTTTTTAGCTATTATAGTTAAGTCAAGCTCTATTTCTACATAAATTTCACGTATGAGGCATGAGGCAAGGATCGCATTTCATTTTATTTTGAATAAGAATATTAAATTGTCTCAAAGGCATTTGTTGAATCAATATTTCCTCCCAATCTGAAAAGATCAATATTCAGAATTTCTAGGGCCCAAAGAAATGGCTCAGTAGCTAAGAGCACTTGCTGAACTTACAGAGGACCAGGGTTTTGTTGCCAGTATCCACATGATGGATCAGAACCATCTGCAACTGGTTCCAGGAGATCTAACATGCTCTTCTGGCCTTTGTGGGCAGCAGGTATGTCTATAGTACACATACATGAAGGCAAACACTCATACACATTAAAAAAAAAAAAAACCAGTCTTATTTCCTGGAACCCATTGCTATTTCTTTGATTATAGTTTCTATACCTTTTCAGATGGCCTTGACTGGTAATCCTGTTTGGAGTCATGTTCATATCTTTCATCTCTGTATGCATATAAAAAGTTAGGAGCACAACGTAATTCTCTGCAATAGCAGGTTTCTTACGACATTTTTACACAGGCTGTGATGCGCTTTGATCTCATCTGCACACCCCTGTTGACCTCTCTCATCACCTTCCTGTCTCTTGCTGGTCTCTTTCTGTGTCTTTTTTTAAAACTTTTGGACTTTCTGTACAAGACAGCACATAGTTGTCTGTCTTTCTGACTCTGGCTCTGGCCATGAAGATTTCTAATTCTGTCCAATTTTCTTGGCCAGTTATTTTCTTGCCAGACTTAGAATATGTCTTTTCATTCCTTTCTGGCCTACAGCATCTGTCTGTACTGAGAAATCCATCAGTTTAGAGAGGACATCTTTGCTTAGTGCTTTTCTTCTTGCAGACTTTAAAATGATTATTTTGACAGTTTGATGCACATTGTGGTGATATTTTCTTCATGATTTTTAGTGTCCTTTAAACTTCCTGTCCATGGATGTACGTATCTGTCCCAACATTAGGTGAATCGTTTGCTGTTATTACATCAGATGCATTTTCCTGAGCTTTTTTTCTCCTGGTTTTCAGGTATTTTATAAATGATGAAGCTTCATTCAGTTTAATGCTGCCACAAAGGTCGCCAATTCTTTCATCATTATTTTTCCATTTTTCTCTTTCTATTTGTATCACTGCAATCACACTCTTTTGATTTTAAATTTGTTCTTAAGCTCTGTATAGGTCTATATTATATTCTGAACATATTGCCCTCATACCCCTGGTCTTCTCTGTTGACATTTCTTTCTGTTCCCATAGACAGACTTCTACATTCATATCATATGTGAAAATATAGTTTAGATATAGCTTTAAATATCAATATAAAATCCAGAACCCACAAATGAGAGAAAAATATACAATATTTGTGTTTCTGACACTAAATTAATTTATTTAATATGATCCTCTCTCCAGTCATATCTACTTTCTTACAAATGACTTCATTCTTATTTATGGCCAAAAAAAATTCCATTGTGTGTAGAAAGCACTTTTCTTCATCCATCCCTGTGTTGTTGGCCATCTAGGTTGGTCATCACTTAGCTACTGTGAATGGTGCTGTGGCAAACACTGATGTGCAAGCATCTCTGTAGTTCTGGCTGCCATCCAGGTCACAGGAAGGTCTGCTTTTAGCTTTTTTAAAGAAACCACCACACTGGCTTCCACGTGCCTAGACTAGTTTACCCTCTTGGAAGAAGGGTGTAAGGGTCCCTTGGTCTACATCCTCAACCACATGTCTTGTTTTCCTAATGCCTGCCATTTGGACTGGTGTGATATGAAATTCAGTGTTTGGCAGAGCAGTTCCAAAGACCAGGTCTTCTTCAACATCCCACATTCTTCCTTCTGCTTGTTTGACCCCTCGTTGAGGCTTTGTCTGTGTTGTTGATTCACCGAGCTCTTCATTTCCTTGCATATGAATGATGCTTATCCCAAATCCCTCTTTCCTGAACTCTTCATTCATCCATAGCTTATTCTCTGTTTTCTCTGGGAACTTACTGATCTTTTTATGATTGTTCTTTTTGGGGGTATTTTGTTCATT